TTTCTTCTATTTTTGCTAGATATTGGGAAGATAATATGTATTGTCAGCTCACGATTTTTTTAAAAATGTTATGGGTAGAGCATAACCTAAACCCAATCCAACAGTTCGGATTCGGTTCTAGTAATTATGTGGACCCGACTAGTTCCGTCTACGAAATACCTCAAGTGTAATTGGTTCTTTCAGGTATCAAAATATCCGGAACAATCCACCCAACGCCCTGGTCTAAAAATAAGTCAAAAGCTATTCAAACACTCGAGCAAAAGAGAAACAAGTTCTACCAAAGTAAATCTAAACAACTTGTCACATGTTGATGCTCCTTCGTCCATGATCAAAATTCAGCAGTAGCATAAGGTTACAATAGACGAAAACCTAGAAACATTAGCCTTAAATGGACCTTTTTAGCAGGTTCAAAGTGGAACAAAGAGCAGAAAGCGAATAGTAATAGACAATTCACTTTTACTATCCCAACCTTTTTAATTTTCCTATTCTATCCCATACTTGTTATTGTATCTTGTATCAAATTAACAAATTTTGGATACAAAGGAGAAGTATGTTGCCCATTTTCACACCCATAACTTGTATCTCTTGTACCGGAGGAGTGTTGAATAGCTTTTGACTATTTTTAACATTTTTTAGGAAGAAGTTAAGTCATATTCTCAACAATTGCACAAAATTCCAATGTCCAAAAAAGAAGGAAGTCAACACCAATGTTAAAGAATACTAAGAAGTAGGGTTGTGCATGGTCCGATTCGGTTCTAAAGAGAACCGAACACAACCCAACCCGAATTTTCAGGTATTAAGTAAATGGAACCGTCGTGTCCAAATTTAACTATGGAATCTTTCGGGTTAGGTTCCATTCAGTTCGGTTCGGTTCTATTCATTCCCGAGATCTGTACAATAATTAATTTTTTTATATTACGACAAAGTTACATTAATTCAACTATGACATGTTCAATCTTAACTCTTACAAAATAACGTAGTCCAATCTTGTAATATATTTTGCACCTCTTTTTGTTGAGTTCTTCATAGATTTGATAATTAAAATCACGGGAAGAGAAAAATGACGAGTTCACAATAACAGAACGACAGAAACGACACTACGGTAGAATCAGCGATTTGGGTAAAACTTAAGTCAATTCAATTAAGTTGAGCTTGGCTATAAATTAGAAATAGTAAAATCATATTTTGGGTTTAGACTAAATTAATTAGTTAGCAAATTTATTTAAAAAAATTAAATAATTTGACTTTCTAGGATAAAAAATTTAAAAAAAATTAGGGAGATTCGGTTATTCGGTTCTTGGTCTAGAACCGAACCGAACCGAACCCGTCGGTCCTCGATTCAAATACTCGTTCGGGCATTTAACTTAAGAAGAACCGTTTAGTTCGGTTCGGGTCCAGTTCGGTCCGATTCGGTTCGGGAGTTTTGTCGAGCCCTACTAGTAAGCAGCAAAAATGCAAAAAGTACCAGTGAAATCAATAGCCACCATGAAGTTAAGCTCATAATCTCCAGCCAGGTAATCAAGGAAAGTATACTGGATCTTCTCTGAATATGTATCCACAAACAACTGACTCTTTAAGACCTGAGTGGAACAAAAAAATGCCGGCAGAGTTACGTTTCGCTGCAAAATTCAACTCTTAAAAGTAGGTTTTTACCTTGTTTTGATGATTCTGCCCAACAGACAACGGGGTGAATAAATTCTCTCCCATACCAACAGAATGTAGCTTTTCTAAGTCTGCCAGAGATTTCTGAACTTTTCTGAACAGTTGGGATATACAGAAATGGCAAAATCAGAATCTCAGCCCATAAACTAGGTAGTGCATACAGATGAAAGAAAGATGACATTTACCCAAGTAAATCATGTTTTCCGTTGCTATTGAAATCAAAACACTCAATGATTAATGGGCTGTCCTGCACTAATTAGAGTATTATTAAATCAAAAACCAATTGGAAATATTAGAAAACAGAAAATTCCAGACAAAATATACACATCCATAATTGTTTTTACAGAAAGTATCCACGTCCAAGTTTAATGCTGCAGGAAATTTTGGACTCCTAGCAACTGATGGTTAATATGTGACATTAATAGTGGTTTTGATCCCGGCCTTGAGAGATTTCCACACTTCCAGCAAACTTGGTAAAGAAAGGAAGGCTTTTTTACATATGTAAGGTGCAAAAAAGATGCAGAAAGGGGTCATAAAATATATGGTGGAATGGGGAGAGTGAGGTGGGTAAGCTGTCCACAACAAAGCACAGCCAAATTTCTACAGAAAATGCATATTGTAGGACCAACTTCATATACCTTGCTTCCAACTTGTTGAATATTCAAGAAAATTGGTTTCCATTTTGGTCTGTGATCATTTTTCAAGACTTCAGTTTTGCAGATTGGAACAGCAGTACCAGCCTCTGTGAGTTTTGATATCACCAGAAAGGGATCCTACAGAAACAAATAATACGAATATGCTTCATACCAACTTTCTCTAGTTCGAAAGGAAAGAAGACGAAGACAAGGACACTTGAGTCCATACACTTTTTGAGAACAAATCCTTCGATTCTAAGTCTGAACATCTTAATATCAACTCTGCTGTAGTCTTTGATGCTACACTTTCTTCAGCATAAACAGTGAGTTGGCCTAACTTTCGTGTATGGGCCGAAAATGCTTCTCCGTGTCCAAGCTCCAAGGTCAAAGACCCGTTTGATTTTGTGACAATCTATATAGAAAGAAATGAGAGTTGTGCAGATTAAGAAAATAACTCTTTTAAGTACGCATAATTTTGAAATGGATGAGCTATGATGTGTTGCATTTTCCGCTGGGGAAATGAATGAGCTAAGGATTGTAGAGATTTAAGAAGGAAGAAAAACAGATATGACCAGTAGCCTGCTAGTGCTGAAAACACATCTGGATTGAGAAAAGCTATGCCAGAAAAGTCGACTGACGGACATGTGATGAAAAAAGCTATCATTAAAAGGCCAGATGTCAGAAGAATCACTATTTTCTTGAAAGTGGCCAAATTGATCATTATCAAATTAAATTCAATCAAAAGAAACCAACACACAAATAAAACACAAAATACAGAGACTTGATGTGCAACATGACATAATTTCCTCATAGTTCATTTTCGGTAGTAACATTTATACTACATTATTATTTCATTAAGCCAAACACACTAGTCAAAATGGCAAGTGACCATACCTGTGACAACGCACAAGTAGCCTCACCAAGAAACTGCTGCTCCTCAAGCTTAAGAGCCTATACAAGAGAAAATGTTTCTTTTGAACTTAAATATTGTAGCTTTATCACAGAATCACAGATGCACTTTAATATGAGTCAGGCATACATAGATCACATATATGTAAAACCAGAGGTGTATCAAATGCTAAAAACATCTACAAGTTTAGCAAACACAACTGTAATGAGAATACAAGGAAAAGATGCCTTGTTACTAGTACAATATCAAAGAGAGACTCCTTTGATACTGTAAACCCTTAGTTCAAATGAAGCTACTCGGTTATAGCTGCAAATGAGCTTATACAAAGAGAGCCAAAAGGTGATTTGAAGCAGAAAAAAGTTGAAGCAGCCAGGATTACATGATTCTATTGGACAACTCATGGTTCTGAGATAACTAAACAATTCTGGTTTAGAAAATACGGAAGTCCAACAAACTTTCAGAGAATGATGTGTTCTACAAGAATTCAGGAAGTGCCTATCTTAGTAGTAAAACTTAGAAAGAAAAACATTTAAGATACCTTGACATCACTATTGTGGAACTGTGTGTCAACATCATAGAGACGAAATCTGAGATAGAAGGTAGTTTGTTAAGATACATGAGCCTGACAAATTACAAATTCACAAGACACAAAAATAGATCAATGTGAGGATACTCACACCAAATACTGCACTGTCTCAAATTGATAAGTAAGAGAATATTTTTTAATCCACTTAGGATTCAATGAATTTAAAACTACTTCAGTGCGACCAAGCTCCTGAAGCGAACCATCTCTTCCTTTAATATAGACAATTGCCATAGGATCACTCTGAAATGAGAACAAGACTTCAAAGATATTAGGTCAATATTTTCACAATAGGATTAATACTAATGACTTAAGGCACATTGCCTCTTAACAAATATGATAAAGAATTCTTACACTAAAAATAACTAAAACGAAGATATGTAAACAAACAACTAACATAATTGGATTCTGGAAAACAGCAAATGAAAGGAAAAGATTGTTTATGGTATAGTTTTGAAATAAAATGCACTATATTTTTCCCTCATATATCTCGACATAGTCTAATCTACAAAGGAAAGGAGTATGTTATTGGTGATATTTAGGATATGATCAAAGTTAGTTAAGGGCTTGCCTTCGAACTAAAATGATTTGTCAAAGTATAAGCAGTAAAAGATCTTAGTTGTTCGACTAACAAAAACCTAAATAAATGATGGTTCACAATATAATTAGCTGAAAACAGAAGTAATACACCTTTAAAAGAACAGGGAATAACAAGTTTTTGAGGATTGGGCGGCCAAAAGGGAGGGGAAATGGAATTAATCTCAAAACTCTGAGCTTCGGTTACCTACTCTGAGGGTTGGAAAACAACAACTCAAGATACAAATATAAGATAAGAATGAGTATTTGTGAAATGCATAGTACAAAAAACATTTTGCGTAAATTATTTACAAACCTTTGATAGCACATCCCGATCACGTAAATTTGAAGCCGATAGAGACAGCTGCACGTTTATTGAGAAAAGTTATTGCCAAAAAATTAAAGAGGACTACAGGCGTAAATGTTTAGCCGGAAAAGAGCACTTCTTTCTACTTGCAACGACTTGGATTGTTTAAATAGAACATCAGTTCATGAAAAGCTGGAAGAGCTGGGTAGACCAAAAGATTAATGAAAAAATAAACCCAGAAAATCCATCCATGAAGGTTAATCCTGGCTTCAGAATCAACATTAAATTGACATTCGTCATTGTATATCAAAGAATCATGTATTTTCAGCTGCATAACACAATGTTCAAGCTCACTTTTAGTGGACATATCCTAGTTTCCAACTAGATATACGACAAAAAAGCACACCATGCAATATTATTTCCTAAAAACCATTACAAAAAAATGCAAATATGACATTTTTTTAAACTAAAGATAACAACAGAATGGTATTCTAGAAGTACATCACAGGCATTTCCATAATAGCGTGTTACACAAAATTTTAAATCACATCTTAACCAAAGAAAAACCAATATTACTATGAATGCCAGATGTATCGAGTGTAACTAATCCTAATTTATTAACATGCCTAGTGAGTCATGTCCCACATGTAACCCAAAGACTAACCCAATCTTTGAGTATATAGGATAGAGTCAAACATGGTCTGCAATAACAGTAGACATGATCCTTTTACCATAAGACTATTATTTCAGATATGTTAGTATTAATTTTTCATCTGTAAGCATCGAGGAGACAGGTCTGTATAATGACTGACAAGATCACAATATAAGAACTACCTCTGCCGTTATTTTTTAAGCATACAGCATATAGGAGTCCCCTGATCAATATTTGGAAGGCAAACTACATCAAAAGAGAACTTATATGGAGTTTATAATTTACCTTTTTCATTTTATTACGCCATTTTTACAACCAATCACAAGTTTTCCGTATGGTGAGTAAAATTATAATTACAATATTAAAAAAAAAAATCACAACCAAATCCTAAACTCTCAAGATGTCACAATTTAATGATTAATATATATACCACCTCGACACAACTTATTACTAATATATTAAGAGTGCGTTTGGGACACATTCTTTTGAAAGACTGTATTATTAAATAGTAGATTGATGGAGAATGTGTGGTTAAAAATGAAGGAAAAGTTATTGATGTGATAGAAAATATTATTTTATTGAAAAATGTGTGGTTGAAAATGAGTAGAATAATGAGAATGAAAAAAATAGTGTGTACCAAACAGGCCTAAATTGAGATGGTGGGCAAAATGGTTTAGCAATCCTCTTTTAGATCTCTTAACATGCTGCAAAAATGTTTATAATCGAAAATCCTTGTAAAAAAGGTCAGTTATTTAATGAAATTTGATTCGGTTATCTATTGGCATTTCCCAAGATTTCCACTTACCCACAACACTGTGCCAAGGGGCACATGGAATATGAGACACAGAATCAAATTTCGAAAATAACTAAGTATCAACCTTAACTTCAATATTTTGAATTTAAGTAGCTAAAATCAGGGTAAACTCATCGTTTTACTAGAAAAACTGCTTGAGTACACAGATTGGCACGTGGAATATGAGTCGAAGAATCTAAGTTCGACGATAACTAAGCATAAATTTGATTTCATTGTTCCGATTTGAAGCTGCTAAAATCAAGATTACGGAAAACTATTAGTACACTTATAATGCAAGCTAGTTACTAGTAACTGATTCTAGCTCGATTCCTTCTAAAAGAGATTTCAGATAATAATGTTTCACACTCCATTAACTTAAATCTGTACTGATGCACAAATACATACACTATATAGAAAGTGTGAACAAGCTTAAAACACGTGTATTCAGTCAAATCTTGTACGCATCAGGGCCCCTAGGTCGGGATAATTAGCACAACTAGCCCTCATTCAAAAGGTTGAGCTATTAGACAGGGAAAAACTGTATTAATTTAAATCTTGTGTAAAAATAGAGTACCTCGATCTGAGAGTAGAGGCCCTGATAACCGCGAGACTTGAGGAAGGCCTCCACGGCCTCGTTCGGTGCGTTGACTGCCGAGCTGGTGTGATAAGATGCGGTGCCTCCGACTGCCGACTGGCCGCCGGTCACGTCGGAACAGCAATTTCCCATCGTCGCCGCCTCCTTTATACTATTCTATTCTACTTTGCAAATGGTAAGAATGTATTTGAATATTGCAATTTACTTGAGAAACATGTGTATACATAGAGAGGATTCAGATTGTAGACAATGGCCCACTTGTCTGCCCGCTGCCTAATTCGTTAGAGTGTATATATTACCAATAAAGAGAGAAAATTTGTACATGTTTAGGTAATTAAATTATAATTTAATTCGATCCAATATATATATATATATATATACAGAAATGATCTAATGAGCACCGATGCTCATCTTATCCTAAGCACCAATGAGTTGGTACATTAATTCATTGGTGGATTGGAACTCACAAAATATTTATCC